AAAGTAAACGATTGTATCCAAACGAGCAGTGGATTTTTGATGGTAAAGCTATAGAAGTGGTAGATCAATTTTGCTATTTAGGTTTGGTTTTTAATTATAATGGTAAATTTACCATTGCATTGAATAAAATTGCTGTACAAGGAAGGAAAGCTTATTTTCTTCTTAATCGGAAAGCGAAAAGATTTTTGTTGATTGAAAAGACCAAGTTATCTTTATTTGGTACTTATATATCATGTATTGTGAATTACAGGTGTGAAGTATAGGGTTATAGTCCTGCACCGCAGATTGAAAATATACATTTATTATTTTTGAAAACCGTATTGAGTGTCAGGAAAACAGTAAATAATGCCATGGTGTATTTTGAACTTGGTCGTTACCCTTTGCATATACAGCGTAGGATTGCTATTGTAAAGTACTGGCTGCAAATATTAAAGACTAATATCTGTATTTTAAGGGGCCTGTTACGATGAACTTTTAGAGCTTTATAACAGGAAACCAAATTGTAAAGCAAATTGGGTTTATCATCTGAGACGTGATTTGTGTAGTACGTTGGGTTTTGGAGATGTGTGGTTGGCACAATGTGTACCAAATGAGAAATCTTTTTTATTATTATATATACAACGCATAAAGGATACTTTTATTCAGGAAATGAGAAACATATTTGAGACATCTTCAAAATGTTTGTTGAACATTGTTGACCGTTTTGATCTACAATGGTATTTTACAAAACCGCTATTTAGAAAAAATAAATGTATTCTTGCGAAATATAGATTGCAAGCACATAACCTTAATATAGAGACAGATAGATATAATGCAGTGCCTCGAAACCAGAGATTGTGTACTTTATGTGATCTTGGAGATGTCGAGGATGAGTTTCATTTCATTCTTATGTGTCCTGTGTTTTTAGAATTAAGAGTATCGTATATCAAGCCATACTATCTTATTCGTCCTTCTGTGTTTAAATTAATAGAGCTACTGTCTAGCAAAATTTTTAAACTTATTAGAAATTTAAGTAAGTACTTGATTCAGGCAATTGTAAGAGAAGTCGTATATTATGAAATATAAGCTGTATCAAATTCTTGCTATTAACGTTTTGTTACTGTATAATGCGATTGAGATCTATGTCTTTATTTCACAATGAGTTATAATCTTATTTCATTATATACTATATAGTACTCGTTCTACCTTCATGTTGAGGTTGTATGTTTGACTTTGAAGTTTTGTTATTTCCTAGAAATTTGGTTAGATTAAGACTTTAGTTGAGCCAGCGGCTGAGAAAAGGGTCCTTACGACTCACAATGCACATATAAGACGTGGAAATCTTCCTTAAAATAGAAATTCCAAAGAAAGTATTGGTGCAAAAATTATACAAATCGGTTGAAAAATAACGACATAACATCAAAGTGAAGTTGATGTCCCCAAAACTGTCAAATGGAGTTATGACGTCATGAAGTGACGTCATATTTACGGTGAACTTTGATGACACCGTTTTAGAATTCATTTCTTAATTTTACATTTTCTTCTGTTGAATAAACAGTTGTTAGTCTATGATAATGCATTATATGTCATTTTGAAGAGAAGGTTATGAGTAGCATGACTGCCAAGTTTTTGTATTACTAAAATAAAAAGCTTTCCATACAAACTGCGTTCCCCGAGTCTGCTCTACCCCTAATTTAAAGTGAGCTAATTGAAGGTAAAGAAATGGATTACTTTAATGCAATAATCTGCAGTGAGGCTATTATGGTAAAAACAATTGCTTACATTCATATTAAAGTACTCATAATTATCCATATTTTAACATGATGCAAAAATAAAAATATTGGTATTTTCATATAAAATATTGAATATTTCATTTACTACTTCGTTTTATTAGAAACATAAGGTCCCTTTTCCCAGCCGCTGGCTCATTTGTACTATTTCCTAAACGACTAAATTATGCAACTAAATTATGCTTCATAAGAGTCCGCCAAGTTACCTTAGGAAAACCTTAAAGTTTTCCCAAACTTATGCCAATTTCCTAATTTGTAAATATTATGTATGGGATTGAATCTATTGCATATGTTCTCCGCCATTGTACAAGATATTTTTAAAGTATTTATCTATATGTATATTTCTGTACGCCTATATGCAATATGCATTTGGTAATAAATAAATTGAATTGATAAACTTTTCTCATATTAATTAGTTTCAAGTTGATCTTCACATAACATCACATTGGGCTTGAGGATGCATAGATATAATGTCTGCTAACTTGATTGCCTCTTGGGTCCTGATATCCATTCGTAAAATCACCTCAGGTACATATAGGCTGATTATCATGACCTTGTGACCTTTTATAACTTATAAAGAAGATTTGAATATTCAGTTCATTGTTTCTTTTCACAGTCTATCTGGTCATCAGGATCCTCGGCTGGTCAGTCACCATTAGAACGTCTCCTGGAGAAACAAAAACGTCGACAGAATGACCCACATTGAGGGGAGGCCGTGGACAAGGGATACACATCCAAGGAATTTCTCCTCAGCCTGCACACAACATGTGTCACTGGCTCTACCAAAACACAATGACACCAGATGTCAACAGCTGATAAGCTGTAACATAATGTGTCAACAGCTTGTGTCAATAACGGATAATGATGACAGAATATGTCAACAGAAAGACAGCAGTGTCATTGTGTCAGTTAACAATATGATGACATAATGTCTCAATTGAAGAGACAATATTGAGTCAACAGTAGAAATGATGACATGATGTGATATTAAGACAACAATTATATCACCATTTAAGGTTTAAATCTATCTGGTGTCAACATGTCATTGCTACATACTTACAACATACAAGGAACTGTCAACGATGCCAGTGTTGTCTATCAGCGTACAGGTGTCAACAAACACAGGCAGTACATAAGTGTACAGTTGTCGCCAAACACGGGAAGTACATTAGCGTATATGTGTCAACAAATGCTGGCAGTACATTAGTGTATAGGTGTCGCACAGTACATTAGTGTATAGGTGTCGCACAGTACATTAGCATACAGACACAATGAATGTGTCCGCAGGAATGGTTTGCAAAGCAAACATTTGACATTGTGTATGATACAAGGGTGGAATGTGATAAACAGTTTTAGCTTGCACTCCTACTGTTTTTGCACAGATTGTACATATATTAAATTATATGACAGATTATATTGTCACCATTTATTCCAGGTTATGTCAGGATGTCATTTGTGTTTATACATATACGTGTTTTATGAAACTCATGCTTCAGCTTATAATGAGATCACTGGTCATATTACTAGTTATTCATTGCACATGAATTTGATGTCAACTGCTGTGACTAAACAGGTCACGTGATCAAGTCAAGTCCGTGATGTCACTAACAAGCAGGAACGCGAGGTTTTGTCACTAACAAGCAGGAACGGAGGTTTTCATCTGAATTCATTTAAAACCTCTCCTGTGTTATAGACTTTAACAAAATGAACTCACGGTCAATAAGTTACACTTTTAAGTGTCAACATTTAGTGACAAATTGCCAAATTATGTGAATATATCTTATATCATGTGATAAATTGCCATATCATGTGCAATTTTTCATATCAACTGACTATTTATTGTATCATGTGACTATTTGTCGTATTCTGTGACTTTTTCATACCATGTGACTTTTGTCATGTTATGTGATTAGTTGTCATGTTGTGTTATATATGTTGACTGATTAGGGAGCCATACTGTTTTATTTGTTTATGTGTGTTAGATCACTGACACCATGTGCAGATGTATACACAATGTCACTATCATCTTTGTAATAGTGACATACCTGTATCACAATATCACCGGTCAAAAGGTGTAAACATGTGTCACACCTGTGTCACTATATCACCGGTCAGAAGGTGTCAAAGTGTCACACTTGTGTCACAATATCACCTGTGTCACTATATTACCGGTTAGTAGGTGTAGACATGTGTCACCATTGTCAGTGTCACAGTGACACTCCTGTGTCACTATATCACCTGTGTCACTATATCACCTGTGTCACTATAACACCTGTGTTACTATATCACCTGTGTCACTATAACACCTGTGTCACTATATCACATGTGTCACTATATCACCTGTGTCACTATATCACATGTGTCACTATATCACATGTCAAAAGGTGTAAACCCATGTCACTAGTTACACATTATCACAGGTATATGTCTGTGATGTAGATAGGAATGTTGACATCCTTTTTAAAAAGTGGACCATAATAATGTAGGACATTGGAGTATTATCACAGGACAAATTGGTGATTGGTATATATAAGAATGACTATTTGAGTGTAATTGTGACAAAGTGATATAAGTATAGAATTATGAGGTAGATGTATTAGAGTGTCTACAGGCACAGAGTTATGGTCAGAAACCTCACTAACATTGACTGGGTACTATTTCAGTTTCAGTTACATTAATTAAGCCGTATCTTTCCACATGTGAGGTATGTCATTTGTTCTCAAATCAATATGTTGAACTCTCCCTTGTTAAAAAGAGATGTAAGATAGATCCAGCCTATGTAAAACATGGGTGAAGTATAGAGCTGGCTCATGTAGCACCAGGATACAGGTAAAGGATAATTACCTGTGTCAAGTCAGGGCATGTTGTATAGAGCTGGCTCATGTAGCACCAGGATACAATTAAAGGATTATTACCTGTGTCAAGTCAGGGCATGTTGTATAGAGCTGGCTCATGTAGCACCAGGATACAGGTAAAGGATTATTACCTGTGTCAAGTCAGGGTATGTTGTATAGAGCTGGCTCATGTAGCACCAGGATACAATTAAAGGATTATTACCTGTGTCAAGTCAGGGCATGTTGTATAGAGCTGGCTCATGTAGCACCAGGATACAGGTAAAGGATTATTACCTGTGTCAAGTCAGGGTATGTTGTATAGAGCTGGCTCATGTAGCACCAGGATACAATTAAAGTATTATTACCTATGTCAAGTCAGGGCATGTTGAATTAATAGAATTCTAATTAACCAGGAGTGGGTGTATTATTATTCCATTTTTAGGTCACCTGAGCTTTAGCTCAAGTGACCTATTGCTATCCGTTTTCGTCCGTCGTCGTCCGTCGTCCGTCGTCCGTCGTCCGTTAACATTTTACATTTCAAACTTAAAGTCAAGTTCTGCTGGGCCGATTGAACTGAAAGTTGGTAGGAATGATCGCCTCATGGTCCTGACAAAGTGTTGTTATTTTTCGGGTCAATCAGAAATACAATTTGGCTGCCATGGCCGCTATTTTGCTACTAAGTTCTAATAGGCCGATCTCACTTAAAATTGGTCTAGGAATGATCAGCTCATGGTCCTGACAAAGTTAAGTTAACATTATACTATTTTTTACTCAAATTGGTACATATTTCAACAACAAAAATAAATATTGTAGGACTCAGGTGACCGTTAAGGCCCATGGGCCTCTTGTTCTTCTTCTTACTCTTCTACTATCCTGACTTAACATGTCTTGTAAATTAAAACATTTGGTAAAAAGATTCATTTCATGTATGCCAACTGCCTCCCTGCTATCATGTGATATCCCCTGGTTATGAAATGTGACGGCATTTCCTATGTTTGTCTTGTGGTGTAACAATCCGTCTAACTGGCTGTGTGCTACATCGGTATTACCTTGTAAAGGAAGGTAATGATCACCTCAATATTCTACTGAAGGACATTGAATTTCATAGCAAGATGGCATCACATAATATATGGTAGGCTGGCTGGCATAGACATGTTCTTTTGTTAGTGGAGGATGAAGTCTTCTTGGTTACATGTCACAGAGCCTTAATTAGGTTTCACTCTATTTAGTAAATGATATTGGAATTTACCTATTCTCCTGATTCACATGTGAAAGAATCTGTCCTTCTAGACAATTGTAACTTGTTACTAGATTATTTGTTTACAGCTTGATACCAATTGTTTTTTCCTACCCCAGACAATGTACATCCCATGTTACTAGAACGACCTTCTGTCATGTATACACATACAGCTTGATTCTAGTTGTTTTCTCCTACCCCAGACAATGTACATCCCATGTTACTAGAACGTCCTTCTGTCATGTATACACATACAGCTTGATTCTATTTGTTTTCTCCTACACCAGACAATGTACATCCCTTGTTACTAGAACGACCTTCTGTTATGTTTAAACATACAGCTTGATTCTAGTTGTTTTCTCCTACCCCAGACAATGTACACCCCATGTTACTAGAACGACCTTCTGTCATGTATACACATACACCTTGATTCTAGTTGTTTTCTCCTACACCAGACAATGTACATCCCTTGTTAGTAGAACGACCTTATGTCATGTTTACACATACAGCTTGATTCTAGTTGTTTTCTCCTACCCCAGACAATGTACACCCCATGTTACTAGAACGACCTTCTGTCATGTATACACATACAGCTTGCTTCTAGTTGTTTTCTCCTACACCAGACAATGTACATCCCTTGTTAGTAGAACGACCTTATGTCATGTTTACACATACAGCTTGATTCTAGTTGCCTGATTCACATGTGAAAGAATCTGTCCTTCTAGACAATTGTAACTTGTTACTAGATTATTTGTTTACAGCTTGATACCAATTGTTTTTTCCTTCCCCAGACAATGTACATCCCATGTTACTAGAACGTCCTTCTGTCATGTTTACACATACAGCTTGATTCTAGTTGTTTTCTCCTACCCCAGACAATGTACACCCCATGTTACTAGAACGACCTTCTGTCATGTATACACATACAGCTTGCTTCTAGTTGTTTTCTCCTACACCAGACAATGTACATCCCTTGTTAGTAGAACGCCCTTCTGTCATGTTTACACATACAGCTTGATTCTAGTTGTTTTCTCCTCCACCAGACAATGTACATCCCATGTTACTAGAACGACCTTCTGTCATGTATACACATACAGCTTGCTTCTAGTTGTTTTCTCCTACACCAGACAATGTACATCCCTTGTTAGTAGAACGCCCTTCTGTCATGTTTACACATACAGCTTGATTCTAGTTGCCTGATTCACATGTGAAAGAATCTGTCCTTCTAGACAATTGTAACTTGTTACTAGATTATTTGTTTACAGCTTGATACCAATTGTTTTTTCCTCCCCCAGACAATGTACATCCCATGTTACTAGAACGTCCTTCTGTCATGTATACACATACAGCTTGATTCTATTTGTTTTCTCCTACACCAGACAATGTACATCCCTTGTTAGTAGAACGCCCTTCTGTCATGTTTACACATACAGCTTGATTCTAGTTGTTTTCTCCTACACCAGACAATTATATCCCATGTTACTAGAACGACCTTCTCTCGTATATACACATACAGCTAGAATACTATTCTGCAGGCTCTAATCATACATTACATTCAGCCTCATTCTGATTGATATGAAAAAGCATCTCTATATTTCAGCTCTCCTTGAAATAGCTTTTTGGCATTTACTTCAAAAACAACCAACTGAATTTCCAAAGTCATGCCTTGTTTTATTCTTGATATCCTGAGACAAAAATACAGATGGATTTAATGAACTATTTGTTCTTTATAGAAAACACTTTGATTATTTAAAACCATCCTGCAATGTCTACAGTTATTACTGCTTACAAGGGAAATGTGTGTATGAAAGGTTTTTTAGCAGTTGTTAATAGAGAGATATTTGATCTAATTAGAATGTTAGAGCTTACCTTAAATAACCATTGAGTAATCGTCAAGAGTGTATTACATGAGAGAGTGGAATAGGTAGCATGTGATATAGGAGATATGTCATCAGTTTCTCCTGTCAGTAATACAGGGAAATAACTATTGATTATGTTATTAGTGGCAAAATATTGATCTCCCCACACACAGTGACCTTGAGACTCCAGGGGTTAGGTGACCTTGAGACTACAGGGGTTAGGTGACCTCGATACTCCAGGGGTAATGCTCACTTACGCTCTCTGTACCTGTAGAATGTGTAATAGCAAAATTGAAGGCACAAGGACAGCTTTTTGATTGGTCTTAGGTAGCAAAAACCTGACCAATCGTTAGGCTGATACCTGTCCTTAGGAGATTACAAAGGAGTGACACCCGACTTCAAAGTCAGTCAATTTTTACCGTTTCATGACAGCGAGATTCTTTTGATGGAGTAACCCCTGGAGTATCGAGGATGGCGTAACCCCTGGAGTATCGAGGATGGCATAACCTCTGGAGTATCGAGGATGGCGTAACCGCTGGAGTATCGAGGATGGCGTAACCCCTGGAGTATCGAGGATGGCGTAACCCCTGCACATACAGGGATCATAGTTCCTGTTTCTGTTAATTTTTACATGTAAAAGTGGTGAAAGGGTGTCAGGCCTTTTTTGTCACATTAAATAAATTTGACAAATTGCTGATGGTCTGTTAAAGTACATGATGAAAGTGCGTATGATTGTTGATAAAAAAACTCATAATGATGTCACATCTTTTTAATAATAAAATATTCAAATGACTTATCAAAGCCTACTGCTCACAAAGACGTATTTTGATTGGCCTATGACTCATGCTTGAAAACTGTATTTTGCATATTTTAGTGGGTTGTGATATACTAAAGTATTTCTTTGTGGTAAATCAATAGTATCCTGTGATACATGTAGATAAGTGTAACAGAAGGAACTGGTCAATTTTCAACTGTCACTTGGTCACAGCAGATTTATACCTCCTTGCGACCTTAAGGTATGAGTTTTAGTCAATGGTGCTGCAGCTGTTTATAATCCATCTCTTCAGTGTGTTCATTGTTCACTTTATTTTGGTCTTAAAAAATTGATCATAATGACTAATGTAATCTATCAAAAAATAGAATGCAAATTAGAGAAGGAATTCATTTGGGTAAAAAAGAATATGTTGTCACAGCCTGTTGAAATTGACTAACTTAAGATTTCAGAATGCTGCTACAATTAAAAATCTTTAAGATTTGCATTTTCCAGCTAGAATTGTCTGTTGCAGTAAGACTTACTGTAGTATAAAACTAGTAGTATTACTTAGAATGTAAATCAAACATTACATTTTGTACTGGAATCAGTGGTGTTTTTGCTCATCATTTCTATTTTCATTCATAGTATAAAATGTTACTACCTAGAATATAGTGTCTCCTGGGTATGAAAGGCAAGCAATATTTTCACCATTGCTGTAATTGTAAGTAGCTGTACTCATTCACTATTTACCTCTGAATGTTAGTTTTTAAATATAATTTTTCTTAATTGTTCATGTTTTAGAAGAAGATATGACAGGAAACTGTCGTTAATGTACCTGGTAGTAATGTTTTTCTGACCATATTGCAGCTATGTTAAAGATGACCTTATCTGTAAATTATTCCTCAAATGCTACAAAGAAAGTTCCAATCGTTGTCAGTTCAGATGTGAATGTAGTCATGATAATCGCTATCAGTCCTAGAAGTATTTTTCACCTGACACTTTAATTTAAACTTGGTTAAAAGTGTAAATACTAGCAAACAGTTTATTTCATGTATTGAACAGATTTAGCTTTATTCGGAGTTGCATCCCCTGTCTGAATCAGAAGTTACAGAAAGGGGAGGTGAACTCTGATACTTGTTTGAGAAACGTTGGGGTTGTGTTCATCCTTTAACATGGCAGGCTTCGAGATATATTTCAATATCGGTATTCCAGTCCTGGTGTTTATCAATGTCGGTATTCCAGTCCTGGTGTTTGTCAGTGTCAGTATTCCAGTCCTGGTGTTTATCAGTGTCGGTATTCAAGTCCTGGTGTTTATCAGTGTCGGTATTCCAGTCCTGGTGTTTATCAGTGTCGGTATTCCAGTCCTGGTGTTTGAAGTAAAATTGTTCATGGTCAGGATACAACAATGAAAGACTGCATTACAGAACAGCTCCATTAGTCCAGTCAGAACAATGGATATGATGATAAACTTGTTATACAGCAGTTAATCTAAATATTTTTGCTATATTTTACGTGGAAAAATATAATAAAGGAACTTGAACAGTAGTGATAGCTAATTA